CGTCATAAAACATAACAGCTAGTTTAAGCGACTCCGAAGCTACCACCTCAGGGGAAATGGTTTTACATCCTTCAATACCAGCAGTTGCATGAGCCTGGAGTAAGAGCATCGCAGATACTGCAGAGTCTGTGTTACCCTCGTTCTGCGGGATGCCTAAGACTCTCTCCAATGAATACGGTTTCTCATCACGCAAGGCCTTGGTGCTTGCAGCACGAACGAGGAATGGGAACATGTTGCATATGGGTGCAAAGTCTTTTTTCAGGGCACTATCGGAACGGAAAACAACATTGCTGTCGAGAACGAAGATAGTACCGGAGGGGATGTTTACGCAAACGCCTACCCAGTGACGCTTGTCGAAATTAAACGGAAAATACATGAATTCTGGCAGAGGGTGAAGAGGATTTTCCGGTTCGAAGTAAGACATCAACGAAGGTTGAAACTTGAACTTTGATCGATCTTTGACGGCAGTTTTCGTAAATTTGACGTAGTGATTTTTGATAAGGACTGGAAAAATAGTGTTAAAAAATTCAATCTTGTTGTAGTTCATCGGGTACATTTGTGGGCCCGAAATATGGCGGATGTAATACATAACAGCGTCCACCACCTGAGGAATTGGATAGAAAAAAAGATGGTGAGAGAACAATGAGTTTAGAACTGAGATGTAGTAATGTACCTTAGGAGGAAGCACTCGTGTCCTCTCCCCGATATCAATAACATCTTCAGAATCGACGCTAGAACCCTCATAAACCTTCATAGGACGGCTACGATAAATATATAAATAATGTGTTTAAAACATGGATAACAACCAGTTCTTTATTTAACAGTCTACAGATAAAGTTACACGACATTATTTCAATCAAAAGTCTTACCGGTCAAGACTGAGTTTAGCTTTTAGATCCGTGAACCAAGAACCATAGTTAGCTTTGGGATCACAGAGCATGGAGAAGACGGTCTTCGATGGATTCGTCCGAGTTACCCCACAATGGTAATCCTTATACACGACATACGATGTCTTAAGTCTTTTGCTTTTACGTTGGAGCTGAACCGGGTCATCAGGAAAGGCGGCATTTAAATAGTCTGGTTCGTGATCAACAGATTGATTTTCTTGAGTGAGGCCAAGAAAGAAGGTTGGAGATACTGATAAGAGTAAATCCATCTGAAAAAGTATTTAGAAAAGATAAGATACTACATGCAAAATGAGAGGGTTGAGGGGATCGAGATACGAACCGATTTAGTGTTGGCAGCAAGTACAGTGGCTGAATTCCTATTACCGTCGGCCTGGGAAAACAAATTTTTCTGATACAGACAAATTATATTGCTAACTGATTATGTGGGCGGTATAAAATATCTTTCACTGATACAAAAAAGATTGGATATGAGCGCGGGACCAATTAACTGAGTAAAACATGTATAACATGCTACAAACCTCGGGAATGGGTTGCGACCCCACAGGTAATGTCGTTGCAAAAGTGGCTGGATTAGGATGAGAACCAGATTTTGGTATGGCAGAGAAAGATCCAGAAAAGCATGAGGATTCAGTGCCCTATAAAAAGACATTAAACATGTTACTATTAATGTAATCGAAAATGATGTGGTTTTGGAAGGAAATCACAAACCTGAGCGTTGATGGATTGTGTGAGGTTCCGAATGAATTCTTCTTTACTCATTGTGAGCCCTGGAGCCTTTGAAATCGGATTAAAGCTAGGTGCGGGTTGTTGGGGCGCAGGGGAGGGGAGTGGTTGGGAAGGAGCAGTGTTGCCTGCCTCTAGACCTGAATTTTTCGGGAAGGGTAACCCGTCCCGTCCCCCACCCGTCCTGAAATTCGGAAAATGGAAATTATAATTTCCCATTCAGATTTGAAAATAATATTTGAATGGGTAAGGGAAAGGGTAGGGACAGGAATGAGATTACCCGAACTTTCCGTCGGGTAGTTATATTAAGTGAAATTTTAGAAATTTTGGTTAATTGAAATTTTTTTTATAATAAATATTGATTTTTTAATTTATTAACAAATAATAAATTTGTTTTAATAAATATTTATTTTAGTCTAATTATCCGAATTACCCTAAACTTTTTTTCATCCTTTTTCGGTTTTTTTCCCGATTATATTTTACTTTGGGATAATATTGATAATATGTTTCGTTTCCCGAATTTCTCGTTTCCGTCCAATACCTGTAAATTTTCCTCCCGTTATTTTATGGGAATATTTTGGGTAGTATATTTAGATTCCCGAAATTCTCATTCCTATCCTTTACCCGTAAATTCCCGTCCTGATTCCCGAAAAATTCAGGCCTACCTGCCTCCATCGAAATAGGCTGGTTGTCAAGATCTGAGTGCACATGGGAGCGGCGGTTCGGTGCAGAGGGTTGAGTATTGAACATCTAGACGTCATTACGCGAACGCGTCAACTCCTCGTGAACAGGTGCATCTGGCATGCGATGGCCAGAATGCGAGAAGGAAGCAAGCACGGATGTCGCAACCTGTTATTCAAACCCTGCAGCTCCATCTTCAATTTCCCAGCCACAAGCTCAGCAATTACCTCCAGATCTATATGTGTATTGCTAAGCGAATCTTCTGCATTTTTATCTTTCCTCTTCTTATCTCTAACTTCTTTTTCTTTCTTACCTTCTCGCTACGCATATGGAGCAAGTCGACCGATGTCAACCCACCGGTAAACATGTCCTTGGTAAACGTAAACCCTTCGCCTATAATTTTGACAGTGACATCAACAGCCCCATCCATCTCTTCATCAGCCCAACGTAGATCCATGCTTTCGATGGCATACTCTTCGTTAACAGGAATGATGGAATGAACAAAAACCTGCATGAAGCGTTATAGAAATTGTTAACCAACGAAGATACATCATAATGTGTACGATATATACGTAACTAGCATGTATATATTTTTATAGAGCCTAACAATAATGTTACCATGTTAAACTCATATTTAACTGTTTTATTTAAAAATAACATGGTACATAAATACTTAAGTACCTTCGCTTCTTCATTTATGTCCCGAGCATGACTGGGGCTAAGCATCATCTTCACTTGACCGGCCGCGATTTCACCGGCGCCAACTACAAAATCATCGGAGCCCATATTGGCATCTTGGTCGCTTGGAGGCTCATCACGCCCATCGGACTTCTCTTCACCATCGCTATCTGAGTCCCCCGACGGCTCTTGTAAAACTTCTGTCAATGTTGGGATTGCAGCCATCATAACCAACTGAATCGCGTAAAAGAATCCTTTAACCGCGATTGTCTTCTGCGATAACTCCAATTCGTCTTTGGATTTAATACTGGACACTAGCAAATCAAAACCCACCCTCCCCCATGGATAAGCCAGGAAAACCTTGATGTCCCTAATCAGCTCAACATGCTCAGGGACAATCTTCGTCACATGAGATGTGCGAACCAAAACAGCAGCAGTAACGGCAAGGCATGCACATTTAAATATTTTCTCTTTGTCGGTAATTTTCTTCTTAGAAAGCATCTGGATTACTGAATCGACGGTACACGATTTCAACAGACCAAACAATCGGGCCAATAGGGCTTCTGTGTAACAGGATTCTTCTACTTCTTCTGTTGTGCGAACTTACCGCACTCAAGACCGGTAACAATGGCGAACTCGCGCAGGGAAAATCTTACAGGGCAGCCAGCGAACAAAAACCACACCTCGTGTTTCTTCTTTAACACGCAATAGACGAGCAAGCATGTAGTATCCAAAACTCCAGAGAAAGAAGGCATCTCCATGGTCGCTAAGAGACTCCCCAACTGGGACTCCCTGAGCCGCTTAACTTTGTCTTCATCAAGGGCATTAATAATGGTCCGAACTGTTTTGGTTTTTTGGTAAGAATTGACCCTTTCGCCGATGGATTCTTGACCGGCGGCAAACATCCTCTCCGGTAATTGAAGATTGGACATCGACGCAATTCTGTAAAGAAATAGATTAAGAGTATGTATATGGGTTTAAATTAGAAAAAGAAAATACTTTTTAACAGAATTACATGCAAAAAAGGCTCTGTGTTTCTCGGACTGATCTACAGAAAAGCGAATCGGACTTTGGTTATGACAAAAGGGATGAACAAAATTAGAATTTTGATTTTTATTGAGTTCTCTATCTAAAAAAATACCCTAAAAGACGATACTGTTTAACATTTATTCATCCGTATAACACAAATAGATGAGGTAACTGAATTATAAAATTCAAATATTTAATAATATTTTTAATCTCTTTTAACAATAGTTCTGACATGATATATTTTTAAGAACGTACATGCTAAAAAAATGCTGGTTGAGAGGAGTAGAGGTAATCACGCCATATTAAAAAATAAACAGTTAATGAATAATACTTCATCCGTTTCATAAAGAGTGTTGTTCTGACACTATTTTTTGTTTCAAAAAGAATGTCGTTTTAGAATTCTAATATAATTTTTAACATAAAATACTATTTTTAACCTCAATAAATTCAGAAAATTAATTGTAAATATAATTCCAAGAGTCATTTTTTGCAAATTAATTAGGGTATAAGATACTTTTTATCTTATTTTTTAATTTGTGTGAAGAATATCAGAACGACACTCTTTGTGAAACGGAAGGAGTACGTTTTTCCTATATACCTAATTATGAACAGTCTCTTAGTTATATAGCACATTTACTTTTAATAATAATATTCATGAAACAAAATAAAAAGCAAAAAAAATCTCGAGTGAACAAGTTTCTTTTGTAGGATGACAACCAAGTCACAAGTTCGAAGCTCATATCAATAATATATGCTTGAATTTGACCCTTTTTTTAGCATTTCTTAAACATGCAAAGGCAAGATTCTTAAACGTCAAGGTATCTTGTTGTGCGATCGATACACTATCACATATATTGTATGAATATGTGCGTGTTTAAATTCTCATGAAAACAAAAGTTGCTTCCAAATTAATCTTCTTCTCTTTTTTTTTTTTCTTGATTTATTGGGGAATAAGAATTATCACCAAAATCGAGAATTTCTCGACGATTCAAGAATTGGGACCCTACCTTGTTTGGTCTTTGTCGGTTTAATTATTACTATGGTTTCCCGAACCATCGGATGATTCAGAAAACGAGAGAGACACAGAGAGGAATGATTGGTTGCAAATGTCTCTATTGGAACAATCTCAGAGAATTTCCGCCATTGAAGGAACCTGAAACCTTCTCGCTCCCTGCTTCTCTTCCCCAGTGGCCTTCAGGTAAATTCTGATTCCATTCTTCCTCTTTACTTCAACAATCACTCACAACATATCTCAAATCTCCTTCGTAATTTTCAGTTTCACAAATCGGATCTGAATTAGGTTTTTCGCTATAAAAAAAATCCTAGATTTAAGCTATTTAGTTTCGATGTGATTTTGATCCAATCCACGAAGAACTTGTTTCGGCCTTTTACAAGTCTTTTAATAAAACCCATCTCTCTATAAATCTTCAGCTTCTTTTTCCTGTCTTTGATTTATGTTAGCTTTTACAAATTTCTGGACACTTCGGTTTCAAAAATTCATATGGTTTCTATATATGCTTTTGAATTGAATCAGGTCAAGGCTTTGCTTCAAGAAGAATCAACCTAGGAGAATTAGAAGTCGCAGAGATCACAACTTTTGATTTCGTATGGCGATACATCTCTCCACGAGACAACAACAAGAGTGTCTCCTTCTACAAACCAAACAATATACCCGAAAATTTCCACTGTCTAGGTCATTACTGTCACTCTGATTCCAACCTCTTGAGAGGTTTTGTTCTTGTAGCAAGAGAAGTCGTCGCCAAGTCACTTGCGAAACCACTTGATTACACATTGGTTTGGAGCTCTAATGACTTATCCGAAGAACCTCAACGCAGAGGCTGCGGTTACTTCTGGTTACCGCAGCCTCCTCGAGGGTATAAACCGATGGGATTCGTGGTCACCACGAGTCCCTCGAAACCTGAATCGGATCAAGTGAGGTGTGTTCGAGCTGATCTAACCGATGAATGCGAAGCGTATAGAGTCATCATCACCGCGATATCAGATTCTTTAAGCGTTCCTTTGTTTATATGGAAAACAAGACCTTCCGACCGCGGAATGTGGGGGAGAGGAGTCTCCGTAGGTACATTTAACTGCGGGACTCGATCCCCGGAAGAAGAAGAAGATATTGTCAGTATTAACAACATCGCGTGTTTGAAAAACAACGATTCGAGTTTACACGCAATGCCGAATCTCGATCAGATTCATGCTTTGATCCGACATTACGGTCCAACGGTTTACTTCCACCCTGATGAAGCTTATCTCCCTTCTTCAGTCTCGTGGTTCTTCAAGAACGGTGCGGTTTTGTGCAGCTCTGATTCTAATTTTCAAGAACCCGTCGATGAAAACGGATCCAATTTGCCTCATGGAGGAACAAACGATAAGCAGTTTTGGATCGATTTACCAAGAAACGACGAGCAAAGAAGTAAGTTTCTCATGCGAGGCGATCTCGAAAGCTCGAAGCTCTACGTTCACGTAAAGCCAGCGTTTGGAGGAACGTTTACGGATCTCGCGTTTTGGATTTTCTGTCCTTTTAACGGACCAGCGACTCTGAAGCTAGGGCTCGTGAATCTCCCTTTGGCGAAAACCGGCCAACACGTTTGCGATTGGGAACACTTCACTCTCCGGATCAGCAATTTCTCCGGCGAGCTTTACGCCGTTTACTTCTCTCAGCATAGCGGCGGCGAGTGGATAGAAGCTCAGGATCTGGAATTCGTCGGAGGGAGCAATAAACCGGTGGTTTACTCGTCCAAGCATGGTCACGCGAGCTTTGGTAGGTCTGGGATGTATTTACAAGGATCGGATTTGCTTGGGATTGGGATAAGGAACGATACAGCGAGGAGCGATTTGTTTGTGGATTCGAGCTCGAGGTATGAGATTGTGGCGGCGGAGTATCTCGGAGGAGCGGTGGTGGAGCCGCCGTGGCTGGGTTACATGAGAGAGTGGGGACCGAAGATCGTGTATGGATCGAGAACGGAGATTGAGAGGTTGAACGAGAGATTGCCGTGGAGGTTGAGGTGTTGGGTTGATGCGGTGTTGAGGAAGCTTCCGGTGGAATTATCCGGCGAGGAAGGACCGACGGGACCCAAGGAGAAGAATAATTGGTTCGGTGATGAGAGATGGTGATTGATTACTTTCCCGTTGGAACAATTTTTTTGTAATGGGCTTATGATATCAGCTTTATGGGCTTGTAGTGTTTTATTTATCAGGCCCATAAGTAAAACACTACAGGCCTATAAGGTTATTCAGGCAAAGAACCTACCAAAACATGATAACGGGTCCTAAATTTGTGTCTTTCCTTAACAGTGTTACGATCTGTGAAGTGATTTAGACTGTAAATTCTAATTTTAAGTTCAAAGCAAAGATAGATAAAATCTTCATAAACGTGGTTGCTTATTATTAATGATGATCTTCGGTGTCTAATCAAATTTTATTGAAGCATAAGACAGCAACGCACACACTTGTCATGTCGAACCATAAACAAAAGTCATAAACAAAACACATGAAGAAGCAGAGAGAGAGAAGCAGAGAGAGAGAGAGAGGGAGAAGATAAAACCATTGGTGTGTTCATTCGCTGGTACTGAGGACACAACGAAGGCAAGTACCTTCGTGCAACAAATCAAAAGCTTTGTTGATATCTCCCAAGGTCATGTTGTGCGTTATGTATTCGTCCACTTTTATCTCCTGCATCGTTTGAAATTTTCAGGGAAACAATTCAAAGTGTTTGAAGAGATAAACAAGAATCGTTTGCTTTAAAGTTTTAAAGTTTTTCTAACCTTGTTCATATACTTTTCTACGAGCCAGGGTACTTGGGTTCGACTCTTGAAACCACCAAAAGCTGTTCCTTTCCACACACGACCAGTCACGAGTTGGAACGGTCTGGTCGATATCTCTTGTCCTGATGCCGCAACACCCACAATAACTGAAGTTCCCCATCCCTGCACAATCCTCTTATCTTATTAATAGTTCTATAAAATTTCAATTAAAATGATTACAGCTTCTGTTTAGATTCATGAACGGCTTTTACCTTGTGACAACATTCCAACGCGGCTCTCATCACGGAGACATTGCCGATACACTCAAAGCTGTAGTCAACACCACCATCAGTGAGATCGACAATCACTTGCTGAATTGGCTTTTCGTGGTCCTTTGGGTTCACAAACTCGTTAACACCAAACTTCTTTGCTGAAATTCAAACCAACGAACCATGTGGGAACTGTATGCGTAAAACTCATAATATATCCAAAATCACTTTAAACCAAGCCAGTGGATAAAGATAAAGAAGATTTACCAGTTTCATACTTCTTGCTATCGATATCAATGCCAATAATCCTTGTTGCACCAGCTGTTTTCGCACCCTCAGCAACCTATCCATTGACAATTAAAAAAGTTTAACTACAACGTGCTCTTCCATGGGGAAAAGGAATAATAGAAGCTTTAGAAAAGCAGTAGCTTACAGCAAGCCCCACAGTGCCAAGACCAAAAATGGCAACATTTGATCCTGGTTCTACTTTTGCAGTATTCCAAACAGCTCCAAGGCCTAACTCCACAAGATACATGATATACTGTTAAGGACCATAAACTTCAATATCTCCCAAAAAAAACTCACAAAGAAAGAAGAAAGATGCCAAAGTGAATATCTTAGGTTCCCATCAGTCTATCAGAAAGAACAAAGAGGATGGTGAAGAACAATCTTATCAGTGAAGTTCCATTAACAAAACAGGATGAGACCACGCAGTGAGAAAGATTAAACCAAAGATCCAAGAAAAAGACTGCATTCTTACCAGTGGGAACACCACAACCAAGAAGGCACACTTTCTCCAAGGGAGCCTTGGGATCGATTTTGGCGACGCTAACATCATGAACTACAGTATACTGACTAAACGTGGAGGTACCCATGAAGTGATAGATGGGTTTCCCATTAACCGAGAACCTGCTCTTGCGATCGTTCATCATGACCCCAACACCAGTAGCAGATCGAACCTTGCCGCAGAGGTTAGTCTTCCCAGATTTGCAGAACTTGCATTCACGGCACTCAGCTTGATAACAAGGGATAACATGGTCTCCAGGTTGAACTTCTGTTACCCCTTCACCAACACTCTCAACAATCCTATATGCCCATTAAACAGCAAAACAATCTTTAGCTTTGAGAGGAGATCTCAAAACCTGAAAAACTGGGTTTGATGATAATGAATAAACATACCCAGCAGCCTCGTGACCGAGAATACACGGAAATAGACCTTCAGGATCCTACAATCCAGACGAAACCAATCAGGAAATTCTGATAAAATCGACTAAAATTCAACCGATCAGTACCAACACCACACTGATTCAGAGGAGAATAAAAGCGAAATTGACAAAACGGAGAGATTTGATTAAGGATTTTAAACCTTGCCGCTCCAAGTGTAGGCATCGGTATGGCAGAGAGCGGTGTAGAGGATCTTGATCCGAACCTCACCGGCCTGAGGTGGAGCCACTTGCACATCTTCGACGACCAGTGGTTTGTTCGGCTCGTAAGCCACAGCAGCTATCGAGAATCCGAGCCAAAATTCGAAACAAAATCCAGAAGAAATCAGAATCGTGGATACGGTTTCAAAACATGACGAGAAATCGAAGAACCGGAGTGAGAGTTGGAGGATCGAGGATGATAATACCTTTGCATGTGATAACCTGACCTTGAGTCGCCATTGACGCAGGAAGAAGTTAGAGAGATAGAGGAAGGAGTGGCGAGAAAAAGTGGACGGCACTGTGTGTGTTTCAGTGTCGTTTCTTCTTTTTCTTCTCATGGCCAGAAATGTAGTTAGTCGGGTCGGGTTAGGCCGGGTCGGGTCAGGTCGGATCGGGTCAGGTCGAGTCGGGTCGTTAATAATCGAGTGAGAAAAGTCCGATTTGAAAGTACGCCCGAGACGCATCATACCATCCGCTTTAGTCCAACAATAGTGACATTACAAAAAAAAGGTAGACCAATTTGGAAAATAAGGAAAACATGGCGACTAATATATAGTTTCTAAGTAGTTGAATTTGAAGTTTTTTTTTTTAACTAATGTGAAGTTTTTTTTTTCATCACTGAATTTATACGTCGAAAAATTTACGATTGTTACTTTTTTCAATTCATACGACGATAAACTTAGGATTGATACCCAAATTTTTTAATCGGTTAAGATAAAAATAATTACTGTATATACTAGGGTTGAGTCCGTGCTTCGCGCAGATTTTATTTTATGTTTGTGTTTTTATATGTGTTATATATTATTTTATAAAAACAATGTGTTCTGTTAGTTATCATTATTAGTGTTTCTATATAACAACAAATTTCTCTTAATTATTGTTTTTATTATCTTCTATATATATACATATATATATTTCTATTAACTTCTAGATTTATTTATGATCTACATGTTGCGCAGAATTTTAATTTTTAAACAGTTAATTCATCATATTTGTTTTTTTATTATTTTTTATTAGACTCATTATTTATTTTTATATTATTATAGTTTGTTAGTTTCATTTCTGTTCTCTTTTCTGATTTTCAACATTTTTGTTCTTGTATTTTTTGAAATTCCTCTTTATCAGCTTTGTGTTCTTCTTCCTCATTTTCTTTACCTTTCTTTTTTTTTTCATCTTATTCGACTTCTATTTTTTTTTCCTTTCAGTTTTTCTTCATCTTCTCTTTCTGATTTTAGCTTATCTTTTAATTTTACTTATCTCGTATATGTATTCTTCCTCGTCTATTTCATCTTCATCTGCGTACTTTTCTTTATATTTGATTATTTCTTCTTCCTCTTATTTTTTTATTATTTTCATCTTCTTTGATATTTGTTTTTATCATCGTCTTTTTCTTTAACTATTTTTACTTATTATTTTTTTCCCAGTTTTTACTTCTTTTTTTGATAAAAAATAATTATTATAAAATGTATGAATTAATTAAGTCATTAATTTTAGTACTAATATTTTATCTTTTATTTTTTATAAAAATATTTTTAAAATATTCTTTTATTCTTGATAGAATATAAGAATTATAAATAGTGTATAAATAATTAAATCATTAATTTTAGTAGTAGTAATAGTGTTTTTTTTAATGAAAATAATAGTTATTAATGTGTGTGAATTAATTGAGATATTAAATTTAGTTTTCATTTTTGGTGCTGATGTGGGCACCTTAGATGGAGAGAAAACTCTCCTATTATATAATAGGTTCTTTGTCCACCAATTCGGTTTAGTTCGATAATTCTACTCCATTTAAGATCTTTTTCGTTTTTTTGGACAAAAATTATAAAAAATGATTAAATTAGACTCTATATATGTTATTGAACTCATACGTCGTCATTGTTTCCATTTCGGTTAAGATATATAAAAAAAATATTAGGTTTAACGGCGTAAGAGTAAAACACTAGAAACCTGCTTGGTGTTAGACTTTTAAAACTTTTAAAGTATTTAACAGTTTTTAAAGTCATTTTTAGCATATTTTTTTTATTTTATCAAGTCTGAAGTTTTAATTGTTTTCATTTTTTTTCTTAGTTTATAAAAGCTACCTAAAAGAGGTTTTTAAAAAAATCAAAATAAAAAATGTATTTTTTTCTCTCTCTCTCTTTTCTTCCTCAAACATTATTCAAATCTATTTATATATTTCTGTATAACTTATTTATAACAAAATTTAGTTAATTAATTATAATTTTTTTCTGTTTTTTTAATCCATTTTTATATAATTTTTTTACCATATTTTTTCAGAAATATCTAAAACTCTTTGTTAAATATAAGATAAAATAATTCTTAAAAAAAATTACTTATCATTTTCAAAATAAAAAACGGTTTTTACAGCTAAAAGTTTTTAAAATAAAAAATCATAAGTAAAAGCCAACAGCAAAATTTTTTACTAAGCAAGCCCTAGGTTGAATGATGAATATAATGAGTTTAACTCTAAAATATTAGGTTTAATGATGAAAAACCAAAATATTTGAAATGGAATGGATTTATGAAACCCCAAAAAATGGGTTCTTGATTGCTAGCAATCTAATGCATATGTTTGCACCTGTTGTAAAAGTCTTGATATATGTTAGCTACTCAACAAGATCCTTATAATTAGGCCCTTTTTTTTGTTTTGTTTTGTTTTCAAGAAGATCCCCAACCTTTGATTATTGTATAATTCTACGCTATCTCGGACAAGTTCTCCTCAGGATAAGTATTTGGTCCAGTGAAGTTAGAGGTTTCAGCTGTATTGTACTGGAAGATCCTCAGCTTCCCCTCCTAAGGAAAAAAAAATCATTAGTATCAGTTTTCATATTCGTATTCATTGCATAGTCGATAACTAACTAATCTTTGATTCATTATTTGGATGTTTAAATTACCTTTGTCCCATAAACAAGACCACCTCCAGGAGAAGGATGAAAACAAGCAACATTTACTTCATCCTCTGAACTTGGGAGTACTCTCACAAGCTCCATATCTGAAACTCTGTAAATCTGAGCCACACATACACACACACACAAAGTTATGTTATATCTCCAGGAATATATACACTTCAATGACAAGGATGTAGCATAAGAACTTGTTTTTTACCTCCAACACTGTGAAGAAATGTGATGTTGCTTCACCATCAATAACGATGCTCTTCAAAAGAGAACCATGACGCCGTCCATATGCAAGCAGTATATGCTCGGAGGTTGGCGAGAACTGCACAGAGAATCCTCAATTAGTATTTTTTTTAAAGGTGTTTTCAATTAGAAAACTTGTCAACAACTTGCAACAAATTTCTTTTGGTTGGACTGTAGGTGAAACAAAAGTAAACGCCATTACAAACATGAATCTTCTCTAGAGTCTATATCTCACAAGTTACTTTCTATGGATTGAGATGATTTCACAACACATTAATACTAAAGATTCCCACATTTTTTGGTATATCAGCCAAAATAAGCAGAGGATATATAAAAACAATACCAAATGGTTCCCATCTGAAACACAGAATCCATAAAAAATACAATCTAATTATTCTCTAAAGTCGACTAACCTGGATAGAGGTCAAGCAATGCGCAGCTCTAATTGCCCGTGACACAAGTACTGAACCAAAACTGTATCCATAGAAACACACATACATTACTGACTCTTGTTATCTGTGGAATGTGTATTTTAAGAAGGTAGAACTCAGATATAGTAAGTGGCAATTACCTTTCCTTTTGGAGAGAATACACACGGAACTCGTACATGACTTGGTGTGCTGTGACAGGGTGTCGAGTCGGGGAAGTTCCAAGCCCTGAATCTTGTTGGGATAGTGTCTGCAGTCCAGCATCTGTCTCAGCCTGAGGGAAAACACATGCAACACATGCTGCTAAATATCTCCCGCATGGCGAAAAATGAGCTCCCATTTCACTGCAAAGACAAAATACGTTTAACAACATAAGCTTTCAAGAGTTGCAGAATGAATTCAAGGGACCATAGCATACAAACTTTCTCTCTTAATCTAAAGAAAAGAAGTAAGTTTGCCTGCAAAGGACGGCATGAGGTATTGTTAATAGACATCTGTCAGGTTTCAGTTGTGCATATGGTTCTCTGATGTCATGCGGCCATACTCTGAGGTTGACAGTACAAGGTAATTCTGAAGCAGCTGCTGCTGCTGCAGAAGCAGCAATTGAGGTAGCAAGTTCGGACTGGACCCTGTTCACTACAGGTCGAGCATCACTTCCACGTTGAGTGTTACGAGAAGACACACCTTCTGCTGGTCCGGGTTGTGAAGTTTGTTCAGTGTTTCTGCCTCTTCCAGGAACACCATGTAAGTTAACACAGCTCGGGATTTCTAACAACGCTACCGCAGCTTCCAGACTGGCTGTGGATAAACGAGATGCTGAAGAGCCTGTGTTAGGAGCCGAGATGCCACTAGGAGGAACCACTGAATCAGCAACACCATGACCTTGAGCCATCAACCATCCTTGTAGAAAAGGTAACTCCCATGAAACTCGATCCCCCAATTGAAATAATCTCTGGATCTGTCCAAGCTCAGGGAGATCTGGTCGATTTGAAACTTGGTTAAGAACTTCGTTTCTTCCAACAGTTTGAGCTTCATTTAAATTCATGCCATTTCCTGGAAAGCTATTGGAACCAGGACCATTGGATGTGTTCCTGTTTTCTGCAGAGCTCAGAGAAATTCTTGGAGCATCTACAGAAGATGTAGGCACAGACATGTGCGGAAGTGGTACTTCCAGTGCCAAACTAGCTCGGCTGCTTTCAGGGCTTGTGAGAAAGATAGCAGTGGGTGGATACCTCAAGTAACCCATAGATGTTGGTCTAGACAATGAGGAATCTAATGGATCAACTTCATTCACCTGCCACTTAAGGTTAGAAAATGTAAGCAGACAAAAACGGTAAATGAACAAAAATTAAATAAATTCCTAATTAGGTAGCTCACCTCTGCGGTTATGAGCAATGGAGCCCCATGAGGGTGAAAGTGTACGGCTCTCAGAGAGCGTCTCGTCTTCAATACAACGGTTGGTGATGATTCCTTTCCTATCATATTGTAATGCCACATGTACAGCTGCAAAAATGTCATGAAAGAAACTTTGTGAGATCTTTCTGAAACTGGCTAGCGTTTTATGGGAGATTTAAGAAGCAAAATAACAAAAACCTTATGACCAGAAGCAACAGCAAGTAGTTCACCCTCAGCATGGAAAGCGATAGAAGCAATAGGCCGATCTTGGTAAGAGAAGAAGAGAAGAAGAAATTTAAACAGGGAAGATGATAGGCTGAAGTATGAACAAGAAACACAATGTGTTCTGATTCCTAGAACTTACAGAATTCATGAGATTTTATACATTCTGAAGTTGTGGTATTCCATAAGCGGACATCCTGATCTAAACTTCCACTAGCAACTATTTCTGAATGTTGCGGGTGGAACCTGACCTGTAGAAATTAAAATAACATTAAACACATTCCAATTATATTTCACATGCCGAAACTGAATGATCTATACATAGATATGGTTGATAAGGGTACAACATATCAAACAAAGAAAAGGGATACAGAGTCAATAGAGTAAGGAGAAAAGGGCACGCATTCGCTAACTCACCACCCAAGGCGTTCTCCGATGGCCGCTCAAGACTTTCAAGCAGCTTCCAGTTTCGCAATCAATAATCTTTACAGTATGATCACCACTACAAGAAACAGAAATCGCTTAATTTCAAAGCCAAAATGCAAATAAAGTAAAAGATATGCCCTGTGATACTCACTGTGTAGAAGCAAGAGTTCTTCCATCAGAACTAAAAGCTGCTGCAATAGTTGACCTTGGAGGAGGTCCAAGAGGGCAATACTTTGCATATAAATGCTGCAACGACTCTGCCTCAACCCTTCATGAAAGGAACATCAAATTAAAATGGGAATCTTAATAGCAGGGTTTCAGACAAGGGTCTTTCAGTTTGGCAATAAAGAGACAAAAGGGTACCATGAAATAAGGCTTTGTTCGGCGTCTTTCATAGATTCACGGTCGGAACTTCCGCATGAGGAATCAGTGTACCATCTGCTTTTACCCCACCGTTTCCTTGGCACAAACTTTGCTTTTGGTGACATTTCCCTCTGGACCAGCATGCTGAAAACGCTCCTCCCCCTAAAACATCAAATTCCAAAAACCAAGTTTACAGTATAATCTAATCAGATCAGCTTTAGAATTTAGATAGAATCGAGATTCTCTCTAGTTCATAGGCGCAGCAAAATAACAAAAGTCATTAAAGTAGATACTCAAGATATGTTGCTGTTTCAATAACCAAAATCACTCAAATACCATTATGATTCTCCCTTTTTTAGCATAATTTGGCTGCCATATTCAGATCGGTAATCAAGAAACCAACAAAAAAGAGCTAAAGCATGAATTTTCAGTGATCTGATTTCCCTAATCAACAAACAGTCTTTTCTAATAATGACTTGATCCTCTAAACAGAAACAAGAACGTTCCATTTCCCACAATTGAGGGGAAACAAAACATGAAATGTGTTTATAAGGTCCCAAAACAAAAAGCCAAGACTTGTGTTTAACCTGCGGCGGTGAAAATTCGCCACCGATTTGCGTGGCGGGATCAAAGACCGAGGAGAAGATGATTGATCTTGCGACGAGCAGATAGGTTGAGTCATCTTGAAAGCCGAAGTTCATAACCTTACATAAAACGACGCTGGCGAATCCGTAGTAGATGCAGTTTCGAACAAGAAAAAGAAGAAGAAGTAAACCCAGAATCCTCCGATCTAATCGTCCCCTGCTTCGTCTCCGATCGCGTCGAACGAAACCTAAAGGGGACAACAACAGTTTGTTTGTTTCAGGACCGTAACTCTGCGAGATGTTGTTATCAGGGATCTCTCTGTTTGGTTTTTCTAATTGAAGTAAATCTGTATTTTTATTTTTCTCGACGATGTAATTGGAAATAAGTAAATGTAAAACTCTTTTTTAAGAATTAATTTACTTAATATGGTAGGTTGACTAAAAAATTAAGTATATAAAGTAAAAAAAAAAAAAGATATTGTGGACCAAAAATTTTTCTTTCCTAAATATCTAATTAAGTATTTGAAATTAGATTTTAAGAATGGAAATTTTTTTGGTCCACAGTATCTTTTCTTTTTTACTTTATTACTCATATTGTTATTAACATATAAATTATGTTGTGAATAGTTAAAACTGGTGGCATTATTCATAAATCTCCCCTATAACACTATTTAAACAAAACGACCAAGACTATATTTATCGTTTACAAATTAATAACTAATAATTAATAATATGCTAACAATAATATATAATGCATGTTAACATGTTAACAGTGCATATCGTTACATGTTAACAATGATATATAATATTTGTTAACAACTTATTTGAAATTTGTTAACGTATTAACAATAATTTCTGATATTGTAAAATGTTAAAATAGTATGTTAGTGTGGTACAATGATATATGATATTTGTTAATGTGCTAACAAAAATAATTTTAACAATAAAATATGATGTTTGTTGACATGTTATCCGATACTTGTTAACAAGATAACAATAAGGGAAAACGACGTATTCCCCCCCCCCCCACACCAAGTTTCACATAGTAACCAATCCACACGATCTTTGAGGTTCGTCTTAATTCCCCACATCGGTAAAGTTAAATACCAATTTCCCCCCAATTCCAAAGTTAAAAACATAAATAACCCTCCGAATAAAGTTAAATACGAATAAACACGTAGACCATGATTTAGATCGGTTTACTGTTTACCGATAACTGTCTTACCCAATGAATACCGAGATTTATCTAATTTAAACCCGATTTAACGCCTAAACCATAGATTGACCCGTAATCTAGACCCAATTAAAAATTTGACCCGCGAAAAAAAAACCCGGCCAAAACCCCGACACAAACCCGCGAAACCTCTCCCATGCTGTCATTTCTCCCAAATTGTGAAGAACCCTAAAACAAAAAAAACCCAGAAACTCAATCGAAAACCCCAAATTGGGACCAAATCTGAATCAAACTTCAATCCCGAGCAAACCCTAACTCCGAATCCACTTCACTTCAAACCGTAGCTGTCGATTTCTTCTGCAAATGTCGATAGTGGAGTGGCAAGCTGGGTATGATTCCGACGGTGAAGAACGCAGGGAGAGGAATGATTGGATGATCGAGGAAGTTGTAGCTGCTTTTGAGGATGAGCCATCTGTCAGGCACAATGTGTATCCGGATTTGGATGAAGAAGAAGCAGCTCAACGTAAAGCTCGGAGGCGCGACCATATCCGATGAGGCAATGGGAGTTTGTACCTCGAACAAGTCTTCATCAGTGGAATAGCATTCAAGGAAGGTGTCTTTGACTACGCCTTGAAGACTGGTTACAATATCAGCCAAAAAAGATATGACAAGACGAAGCTTGTGTTTAAGTGTTTAGGAGAGAACTGTACATGGCGAATTTACTGCTCTCGGAAAAGTGGATCGTCAATGTGGCAGGTAACATTGTTTGAATCTAAACATTGTTGCGTTCCGAATGGCATTTGCACGATGATGAAGGTGCCTGTGATTGCTCGCCTCTTTGTGGACAAGATTCGTGAAGAACCGGAGTACTTCATGCCAATGAAGATTGAAGAGTTGGTTATAGAGAAGTGGAAGATCTTTGTTTCTCGGCCTCAATGCCAGCACGCAAGGAACAAAGCTTTGGCATGGATTGAAAGAGAATATGAGGAAAAATTTGCACGCCTAAGAGATTATGCAAAAGAGATTGAAGGTTCTAATCCGGATTCTTCAGTGGAGGTTGATTGCATTGTGAATGATCAAGGTAAGCATGTGTTTCAAAAGTTCTATGTATGCTTTGATAACCTGCGAAAGTCTTGGAAAGAGAACTGTAGGCCAATGTTAGGAGTGGATGGCTGTTTCTTAAAAACAGTTCACAAAGGAGAGTTGTTTGTGGCAAGTGGTAGAGATGCAGACAATCGAATCTACCCTGTGGCATGGGCTGTAGTGCAGAAGGAGAATGCAGATAATTGGGGTTGGTTCTTTTCTAAGATCAGAGATGATTTAGGACTACATGATGGAGATGGCTTTGTACTAATCTCTGATCGACAAAAGGTAAAATGGGTGGTTTACTTATTGTTTAGTTCACTTCTATAGCTACTTAAATTGGTTTTTTTTGTAGGGATTGATCAGTGCCGTTCAGAGGATCCTGCCAAAGATTGAGCATAGAATGTGTACAAGACACATATACATGAACCTGAAGTCTCGGCATGGAAAGAATCCAGAGTTGAAGGGGTTGATATGGCATCTAGCTTGGAGCTACAATGAGCCAGAGTTTAGAGAAAACTTGAACAAGATTGAGTTGTATGATGAGGCATTGTACCAAGATTTGCTGAAAAAAAAAACCGGAGACATGGTGCAGGGCTTTTTACAAGCTCGGGTCTTACTGTGAGGATGTGGAGAATAATTCAGTGGAGTCATTCAACAACTCAATAGATATGAATTGTTTTAGTTGGTTTGTTATGAATTGGTGATAGTTCATTTGTTTTAACTGTATTTTCATTGTTTTTTCATTGTTTTTTGCCCTTGTTGTACTCAGGAAAAGCCAGGGATAAGGCTTTAGTGCCTATGCTAGAGACTATTGCAAGGTTGGCAATGGTTCGAATAGCCAAGATAGATTATAAAGCTTCTAACTATGATGGTTTCTGTACACCATATGTGAAGAAATACGTTGCAGAGTATCATGATGCAGCTTCAGGATGCTTTGTTCGGCCTTCAACTAACATGCAGTATGCTTGTTCACTCGATGGATGCACACACAGGGTTGACTTGGCGAATAGGACTTGTAGCTGCAGGAGATGGGAAATAACTGGAATCCCGTGTGAGCATGCATATGGTGTTATCTTGAAAAAAGGTCTTGAAGCTCAACACTATGTGTGCCATTGGTTTAGGACAGATAAGTGGAGAAGGCTGTATATAGATGGCATTGTTCCAGTTAGAGGTGCAAAGTTTTGGCCTAGAGGAGAAGTGTCATCGATTGTTTATCCTGAGATTCCAAATATGCCTGGTCGGAAGAAGGATAAGGATAAGGCAAAGGAAAAGGTTACAAAGCAAGATAAAAAGAGGAAGAGAGACAGGAATGAGTCTCCTACGAAGAGGGCAGACCCATTGGAGAAGAGGAGGGTCATGCATTGTGGTGTTTGTGTAGCTGCTGGTCACAACTCTCGCTGGCATAATAAGAAGAAGAAAGGTTCAACATCTGAGATAAACTATGTGGTTCTTCTTTCTTTCTTATGACTTTTTTGATTTCTATGCTAATGTTATTTGTTCTTCTTTTTTCGCAGGTCTCTTTACTTGAAGCATCATCTCAAGTTGAACCCTCACAAGGAATTCTCAGTCAAGTGGACTGAAAGTGAAGAATTTTCATGTTTTTAGATGTTTTTTTCATGTTTATGGCTGTCCTTTTGGTACTCTAACAGCTTGTTCTCGGCTTTTCTTTTTGGTGCTTTATCAGTTTGTGTCGTGGCATCTATGTTATGGCTGTCTTTTTGGTACTCTATCAGCTTTTTTTGAACCTGTTTTATGTTAAGATCAGTTGTATTTTACTCTACTTATGGTCAGTTGTTTTAGTTATGAACCTCTTTTATGTTATGATCAGAAGCTTTTTATGAAACACAAAACAAAACAAGGTCTCAAAAAACACAAACAAGCTACCAAATACCAATGACAAACACAATCTCTAGCACAAACACAATCTCTAGCCATAACAAGGTCTCAAAAACCAATGACAAACACAAAACACACATCATACATCAAGCTTGTTCTTCTTAAAGCATCAACCTACAAGCTTGGTACACCCAACAACAACAATGCATCCTAAACAGATAACTAACATCATTTTCTTCATCTCATTTTTAGCTTCAGCTACAGCTTCTTCCACTCTTTGATCGCTTTCATTCTCTAGCTTCATTTGCAGCTCCTCAAACATTTTCTTAGCCACCTCCATTGTCCCATTCGTAAAATCTGCCACGACTTGCTCCAGTTTTTCAGTTCTTACTGTCAATGCCTCAATCTCACTCAACAAAGCATCATCGACCCACTTGAAAATGTGGCTATCATTAGAAAGCTACAAAAAACAACACAATCACAAAACAATGAGAACTCGGAATCTTTAAAATGAGAATACGAGATATAGCTGTGTACCTTTTTTCAATGGCAAATGCACATCGATAATATCTCCGGTATGGATTGGACTCGGACTTTGACATTTTCGCGATAATTGCTTCTCCACACCAGCACCTTTTCGGCACACCTGCATTTCTTCTTCTTTCCCGACCACCTGAGTTCACACTAGAAGCCCCAGAGTCGTTGTTGTTCATCGTAAAAGGAGTCTGGGTTTTGGAATTTCGATTTGGGAATTTTCGGGTTTTAGGGTTCTTCTCTCGATTTGGGGATTTTAAATCGATTTGGGAATTTCATAATATTACCGTTAGAAGATGGATCGGGTTATAGGAGCGGCTTTAGATTTTGGGTCAGGTTGGTCGGGTCGTAAGATACCGTCTACAATCGAGCAACACGGTTTTACCTTCGGTTAAGCTCACAAACCAGTTAAATCAGCGGTAAGGGTTATTTATGTTTTTAACTTTGGAATTGGGGGAAATTGGTATTTAACTTTACCGATGTGGGGATTTAAGACGAACCTCAAAGATCGTGTGGATTGGTTACTATGTGAAACTTGATGGGGAGGGGAATACGTCGTTTTCCCTAACAATAATAACAAGTATCATATATTATGGTCTACATGTTATAAGTACAATATACATATGTTAATACATTAACATACTCTGTTAAAAGTATTACATATTATTGTTAACATGTTAACAAATATCATATATTTTTATTAGTTTGTTAACAAATATATGTTAATGTTATTAGCATGTTGATCGTTATCGAATATTATATTCTCCAATAATAAATAATATCATAGACTTTAGGTAAACAATATCAGCAACTGTTGGTGAACAATGTCGGCAGTTTTATTCATTATCAACACAGTTTCATGTTAATGGTATTATATGTAGTTATCTAAAATTAAAAGGGTATAAATGGGTTTTTTATTTCTCTTTCCTATCTGTACTTAATTTTAAATTATCTTTTAGTACTTACTTAATTTCATATTATTTGTTAAGTAGCTAGGTAATATTCTTTTTTAATCTGACTTTTTAGCATTATATAATAAATGGGATAACGATTTTTATTTTTTTATTTCTAATATAAGTTGCATTTATTTTTTCGTTTAAATATAATTTGTTTTTGTTATTTATTTTTTTAAATCAAAAATTGTTATCATGTTTTAATTTTAAATAGTAAAAATTTGTATATTAATAGAATAAGAATATGCGTTAATTAAGTATACATTAATCTAATGTTAATTATAAACTTTGTTATTATGTGAATTTAGATTTACACATAAATAATCTATATATACTATGAATTTGTTAACTCGTCCGTTTAGTAGTCTTAAATCATTTTTAATATCTTACATGTTTTGACAAACTAACCCGTATAAGACTATAATTATAAATGTATAACCCTATAAATATTTACTAATATTGAATATTTGGACCAATTGATTATGAAATATATAATAAGATATTTATTTACTATTTGTGCTATTACAAATATATATATATATATACATATAAACTAGCTAACTTGTTAATTTAATTGTCTCAAATCATCTTAATATCTTACATGTTTTAATAAATTAACTCATAGACCTTAAGTATATATATAATATATATATAACTCTAATCAGCTCAATCATATTAGTATATAATATAAATATTTATCAATCTAAAATATTTGATATTTTAGACCGATTGATTATGATAAAATACGATAAAATATTTATTTACTATGTATTTTTATGAAAATATTATTTAAATTTAAAATTTTAAATTATATCTAAGAGTATTTAAGAAATTCTAAAATATTAAAATTATTATTTAAATTTTTGTAATAAAATTTAATTATTTTTTTGAATTTTTTGAATTTAAATTAAATTTAATGCAGATTTTTGTAATTAAATTTAATTATCATAAATTTCCAATAATTTGAAATTTAAATTAAAAATGTCTTAGATTTTAGGAAACCTAAAAATATATAAATTAAAACTAATTTTCAGAAATTAAATATAAATATAAAATAAAATATCATAAAAAAACTTTAGGAATGTTTGGAAACAAGTACTAAAAATGCTTCTGTTTTAATATAATATATATCGGTGGAAAAATAAAATATCCCTGAAAGCAAAGTTGATAAAAAACATATTTTTGTCATAGACAAACTCTATAAAAAAAAGAAAAAAAAACTAAAATTTACCAAAACCGATTTTCACCTACAATCTTTTTCATATATAGAGAATGTTTCAAAGTTAGTAATTCGTTTGATTCAAAATTACAGATTCTAAAGAACATAAAATTTGAGTTGCGTAAGATAGAAGTAAACTCTAAATTATGTAATACATAATATTCTGGATTGCATAATGAATGTATGAATTCTAAAAAAATATAACTTTATTATATTTTGGATTAAGTAAGATAGATTATGAATTCTAAAGAACGTAGAATCAGATTAAAAAATCTTTCGAAGTTAGTAAGAACGTAGAATCTAAATTCATGCATAAAGCAGAAGTAAACTCTAAATTATGCAATACATATTCTGGATTGTGTAATGCAGGTTATGAATTCTAAAAAAAACTTAATTTATATTTTGGATTAAGTAAGATAGGTTACGAATTCTAAAAAACGTAGAATCTGATTTGCATAAGGCAAAAGATAAACTCTAAATTATGAAATACATATTTAGATTGCATAAGGTATATTACGAATTCTGAAGAACATAGAACTTAATTATATTTTAGATTAGGTCAAGTAGATTACGAATTTTAAAGAACGTAAATTATGAATTATGTAAGATAGAACATAAAACTGTAAATTATGTAATATATCATATATTATAAGTAAAGTAAAAATTTCGTTTAAAGCTCTCTCATTCAATCTCAGAGTGGCTAATTACCCTTTACCCCTTCCTTAAATTTGATTAATTTTTTTTTAAAGAAAAATTGTTTAAATCTAAAATCTAAAATCATAGTTAAAAATATAAGTTGTAATATTGAAAAAAAAAAATCTAAATTCACGATTTAATCTGAAATTTAATTAGATTATATCATTAAAAAATATAATTTAATTTAATAAAAATTCAGACGCACATACAATATGTATCTTGTTTTTTATGCCTCTGCACATGCAATATTATCCAACTTATACTTAACCAACTCTATTAATTATACGGAAGTCCTTGAACAGCTGTATTTAGTTTTTCCCAAAAAACACTCTACTACAGCTGATCTTGATATATACACAGAAGAAAAAAAATAATATATATACTTCTTTTAGATTTGCATCTATCTTCAAAATATTACCTTAATAGACGCCTCGCTGATACCATATAAATAGTTCTCTGATCAAAAGTCTTCTGGTATTCTGTTTTCATCACAACGTCTTATTTTTTGGAAGTAAACGTCAGATCACGAGACGATGGAAAACATTGAGAGGTGGAAAAATCGTCACTATTGGGATTCTTTCGATTGATGAAGTGGTGAGTTTATATTTGATAATCCTGTACATACAATCATTGCGATACCGTTCTCACTGATAGTAGATTTGGTAAAGAGGTTTAAGGGTCGCCTTAAAGAGGACGTGCGATTGTGCTTAGTATTTTTGTGGTTAAGAATTACACCACTGGCTACAATACAACCCTCTCTCTTTCAAGATTTGTTTTTATCCCATCACTGTCATCAACCCTTGTGATTAATTTCCTAAGGATCTCTCTTTAAAATATTTGAAAGAGTTTTCAAGAATTTTAAAGGGTAAATTCGATAAAGGTATATTGACTGGTTGGGAAATTTCTTTCACCTTAATCAATACAATCAAAATCATTCTTTCTTCTTAGTGGCCATTTTTTTATACGTGATTGGGCAGGTTGTTAGTCTTTCTTCCTCTGTTGTTAACGCTAAAGGCAAATCCACTAAGAAGCTGGACGTGGTTTTGCGTGACATATCATAAGTTTTTTTTCTTTTCCATGTGTATATTGGGTTATTATTGTCTATTTATATGTTTTTTAACCATGCAGTGATCTCCGTTTGACTTGTACCTTATGGGGAGATTTTTGTGACCACGTGAAAGAATATGTTGCAGACAATATTTCATCGGTGATCATTTGTCAAGATGGTTTGCCTCTATCCTATAAGCCAATGGTTTCTTGGAATGACGATTTTTTTGAGAATGAAAGAAAGACAATCAATGGGATTATATATATGCCTCTGAGGTATTCTTAGCTCTTTTGGTTTGATTATTTCAAAAAGATGTTCTAGAATCTTCTATTGCTTGATATATTGTGTTTTGTTGGAAAAGAAACTATTCATATAAATGAGCTCATGAAATCTGTGTAACTATGGCAAAAATTGTTAGTGTTAAATATTCACAATCTTAGCTGCTTAATTAACAAAAAAGAAATATGCAATTAGTTGTTCATTCTTAATGCAGAATTATTAAGCTACCAATAATTGCTTCCACGGGAAGAGTGTCCCTAAATTAGTTTTGTTACTCTCCTATGGGATCTAGGAACTCTTTGGTGAGATTGGGGAGATGAAAAGATACGCAATTCACTTTGACCAAAACGGGCGTCTAAATGTAAGTTATAAGCGTAAGCCTTATCACTGTTAAGGTATTAAGAAAGTGGGAATCAACATGCCCTATCAATAAAAGTTGGAAAAAGAGGAATAATTTTCATTTAATTGAACAGAAGGTATGGTTTTAGCCTCTGTCATTATAAAGCATTGGGCCAGTGTTTATTCATATTATTTCGGTTTTAAATTATTTGAGGTTCTGATGCAGGAGAATACTATTCAAGGCATAGTTCATGGGTCTCTGCTACCAATGTTTGGAAGTTGTTTAACTGAAGGAAACATTATATAAATTCTGAATTTTGGCGTACATTCTACCAGTAGTTGCTATCAGATCTCCGATCATAGATACATTACTCTCTTCACTGAGAGAGCCAGGGTATCTTTTTCTGTTGTAGAATTAAGCACAATTCCATGTGAGAAATTCAGTTTTAGGGCTTTTGGTTTTTGCACAAATGCAACTGACCATGTAGCTGGATTATACAGTAAATCTCTAATGTCTTGTGTTTGTTTAATATATATTATATATATACATACATGTATATGTACTGACTTTTCGTCTTTTATGAAAAAATATATGATGGGTACGTACAACAAACATGAACACAAGAATTATGTGCTTATCCAAAAACGGCTGGTCGTTGGCAAAGTTGTTTGACTGTGGTCTCCAAGATGTATGTTTAGTGCCTCTATAAGGTTTTTTTCGTAGTTATGTTTAATATATTGGCAGATATATGTCAACGTACGAATGAGTTTAATATGCAATTTTGGGTCCTAGGTTTTCTAATGGGTTTGAGACACATACTGCTCCTAGGAGACCAAGCAGAACAGTTTGAAGATAAGCTTCACTGTGCAATTAAAGATAGCATCGTTATTGTCATCACATGTCATATGATCACTACGTTGTTGTCTTCTCCTACGATGAAGTTCTACTTTAGTCATGACTTTGCGTACGTCAAAGCCTTTAAGAAAAGGTTTTTATAATCACTTTCATTTCTATTTTTCAGTCTATATAGACGATATTTTAATAATGGTGACGCTTTTGATTTATTTTCGTGAAGCCTCAAGTTCGATGGAAAATGTACTGTTGCATTAGGTCTCGAGGTTTAAGAATCTTCGGGTAGAATCTTCGGGTAATGATATTGGCACTTATTAGATATTTTATTTGCTGGAGACTTTAAGATGTTCTTGCTGTGGTTCCAGCCTCCCGTTGAGTGAATCTCGAAAGATGAAGCTAGAGTTTTCATATGTTACTGATGTTTGCTTCGTAGTGTTCTTACGATTCCTGGTTTTTCTCTTTGATCAATGCGAGTGCATTGATTGTTTTGTTTTGATTTGTTTTTTTTTTCTTCTGGGGTTAGTTTTCAAAATTTGTAAGGCTTCAACATATTTATACTTTGAACCTTATTTATAAAGTATTAATAATTATCTGCAGTTGTATTTACTTACATCTTTGTTTAAAAAATGATTAATCTTGAATCATCTTACACTTATACACATATATGCTCCATTTTTTTTAAAACTTGATTTGGTTATACTGAGAATTGTTATACGTTAGTATTTAAGGGACTCGTGCATGCCTTGAGTGTTGTTTCTTCATCTTAGTCACTTAGTGAGCATTTTATCCATTTAGTGTAATCATAGCCAGATCTAAAACTTTGGAAGCCATCAACAATTTAAGAAAAATATTAATATTTTTTTTTTGTTTTTTGCAATTTAGGAACCAAACTATTCATGTATAACCTTAAAAAAATTGGAAGTTAGATGCCAATATTTCATCTGAATGTCTTCAGACCTGCTCTGAGTGTAATAAGTCTTCAATGATTGTTTTTTACACAAGTGATGAACATGAATATCTAAATTCGGATAGTATTGATACATCAGACACAAGTAAGTAAGAATAATGATATGGTTTATACTCAATAATATCTTAACATTAATTATTAGAGTATATAGATTGCCAAATCATTTTCTAAAGTTGAAGATTGATGCACCTATCATACTACTTAGAAATATTGATATTAGATGTGGTTTTTGTAATAGAATGAGTTTATTGGTAACCAAATTGTCTAAACTTGTAATTGTTTATACATGTGATGAACATGAGTATCTAAGTTCGGATAATACTGGTACTTCAGACACAAATAAGAATAATGATATGGTTTATACTCAATAATATCTTAACATTAATTATTAAAGTATATAGATTGCCAAATCATTTTCTAAAGTTGAAGATTGATGCACCTATCATACTACTTAGAAATATTGATATTAGATGTGGTTTTTGTAATAGAATGAGTTTATTGGTAACCAAATTGTCTAAACTTGTAATTGTTTATACATGTGATGAACATGAGTATCTAAGTTCGGATAATACTGGTACTTCAGACACAAATAAGAATAATAATTTTGTTTATACTCAAGAATATCTTAACATTAATTATTAGAGTATCTGGGTTGCCATAAAGGTGAAGATTAATGCACCTATCATGCAACTTAGAATATCAAAGTTATTTTTTATTTTTTAAACTGAATTATAAAAAATAAGTTAATTCATATATGAGGTCTTTTTAATAGGAAAAGAGAGAGTGTAGGATCATTGAAACATATGTATTGTATCGTAAATTAGAATTTTGTTACCATATTTATATAATGATTACATTTTCTCGCACATCTTTTTATATATACATTTTCTCATATATTATAATTTGTTTACCTAAAATAATTTTAGTCCAGTTTACTATTACTTAAAACATGCAATTTTGGTCCACAAGATTTTTTATATCTCAATCAATTAATGCATAAAGTTTAGATATATAATATTTTATAAATATTTAAGTAAAATATTCTATAATTTTTTACAAATTAAGGTTCATTTATGTAAAATATTTTGTAAAATACTTTGTAATATCTTACAAATTAAATTTCATATATGTAAATGATTACTCAAATAATAATATAGATATGAATGTACATTTCAAACTTTATAAATAATTATATATGTCACTAATGTTTAGAAAGCTTTCCGCCCGCGCAAAGCGCGGGCTACCTACCTAGTATTCTAGAATGAGTAAAGCAGATTACGAATTCTGAAAAGAATGTAGTACTTAACTATATTCTGGATTTGGTAAGACAAATTCTTAATCATCAATATATAGCCATATGTGTTTATGTGTCTTTATAGAAAATTAATTTTATATATATATGAAAAGTTATATTTGTAAAAGAAATACATATGTAAGTTTTAAATACCAATACTGGATATCAGATATAACTAGATTAGGAACCATATGCATAAAATACCACAATCTTGCAATCAAAAGTTTCGGCCCTCTTGTCTTCCGGTCGAAACCCTTTACACAAACATATCCTACAAAAAATTTCATTATGTTTCAAACTCAAGTGAGACTATCAATCAATAAATGTGTTTCAAAAAATTTCTATATTCCAAACATATAGGAAAAACAAAGAATAATAAAACTACATTTTGAGCTTTTAAATAAAAGAAAAGGAAGATGTTGCTGAAAAGTAAACAAATTTATAGTTTAATTTTATAATCAGTAGAAAAAAACTAAAAAATAAATTAAATCGTTCATAGAAGTGATAATATAAAACTATAAAATTGTTTACATAGATGTGAAAAATTAAAATTCCTTTTCAGGATTACTAATCTGTTTGTTTAATTTTCATAATTTAAATGAAAAATTACATATATATTTGAGGTGCGTTTCCGAAATTCGTATTCGCGTTATGTAAGCTCGTTTTTCGGCGACAAAAAAAAAACATAGCTCGTTTCCGATTTTTTCCTAAACCGGTTTGGTTTCATTCATGAATCAAATCCGGTTTTCCAAAACCACAGCGCATCAAAACTCAAAAAAGTAAGAATGTGTTTTTTTTTTTGGGTAAAATGTAAAGATAAGTAAGAATGTGTTCTACAAAAGCAAATAAGGAAACAAGAAAAGAAGCAGAAATAAACTATACACGAATGTGGACTTCTGTCCTCGGTTTAAAGCTTTTACGGTTTCTGGTTATCTAACCGGTTCCCCGGCTTATCCGGTTTTCCCGGTCCCCAAATACGGATGGTCTGGTCATCACTCGCAGAGGCCAGCATCAGAGGATTTCTTGGGTTCCAGCTCACACAGTTTACAGTCATGGAATGACCTGATAACACTTCAAGCGGCTTCCCCTTCTTCAGATTCCATATGTAAACCTGTGAAACAACAACATATCACATCTCAGTGAAAAAATCAACCAAAGAAAGGAAACCATGTCAGCTTCGCAGATATGTGCTTGCTTACTACCTGTGAATCCTCGCTTCCACTGGCGATGAACGAACTATCCAAGCCACCAAAACATGACCGTATCACGTATTTGCTCTGCTTATGACCCGAAAACTTCAACGGTTGTTTCCACTCTCCAGCAAGATCCCAAAGATGTATCTCTTGGCTGCTCAAGTTGACTATAAAGAACTTACCATCACCAGAAACCGAGAGTGAAGTAATCGGCTGCTCCTCAGAGATAACACGCTCGACTAATGTCTCCAGATTCAAGATCCGGATCTCTTTATCCGAAAACACTGTGATCATACTTTCCCCATCCGGCGTCACAGCTAAATCTACTACCTATTGGAGGAAATTGAAACATTTCGAATATCAAGAATCTGAAAGACTAATAAAGCAAATCATTTCACTAATAGTGACTAACCTTTGGAATTCTCGTTCCTCTCCAGGCTTTGATCTCGTTTCCATCAGTATCCCACATTACAATCCCTCTTTCTGGGTCAGAACTGCCACAGACAAGCCGAGTTGAGTCAGGGAACCATGCGCAAGAGCTAACAGTGAATCCGCTATTGTTGTTTCCAAATGTGTGTCTCAACACACCTGTGTCAACATCCCATAGCTTTAGAACCTCAGCGTTTCCGCATGTAAGCAGTTTCGTATCGTCGGGGCTCCAGGACACGAATGAAACTGGATTTTGGTGGCTCTGAAGCGTGTGCATCAGTTCAATTTTGTTGTCATCCAGTACCTGAAACAAGAAGTTTTTAGTATCAATCTGTCAAAAGACCAGAAATAACCAACTTTAGTACTTAAAGACACAGTCTCAAAATTATCATAGAAAAACTAAAGACATACGCAAAAGAATTATCAACCCCCGGAGTAGTTAGACCTAGTTACATGGCTCAAAAGGACAAATGCTATGACTTACCATATAAAAGTTACTGTCCTTTTTTGTTTTCATAAATGGCTTTCTACATTAATATACCAAGCTTCAAGCCAAGACATCCAAATGTAATTTCCTTTATTTTTTTCCACCTCACTGCGTGAAGAGCTATACAAAACGAAAGGTTCTCTTGCCCATCAGAGCTAATTCATCTGGTCTCTTTCTCACTGACATTAGTTAAAGATAAGAGGAACCAATGGTCTAAGATATTTACCTTCCATATCATAGCTGTACAATCGCTTGATGCAGTGGCCAGATACTTGCCACTATTAGAGAATTGCACAAACCACACTTCGTTTTTGTGAGCCATCAAAATCTGCAAGATAATAAGAAGTTGAGAAACTATAAGAACCAGTGACAAAAGTCCAGAAGACGTGACTTTCTGGTGTATATTTACCACTAAACTGTAACCCAGAGACAATCTTTTCCATAGCTGTGACAATATCAAAATGGAAACAAACAAATGGGTTTCTAAGGAACAACACCTGAACTGTTTCTGTAGGAATTTGGTCTCTACTGCAACGGTGATCCTCGTAGAGTGATACTGCATCACATAAGTTATGATACAGACATTTATCAATCTGGTCCATCACAGCAGTCTCAACCAAATGTTCCAACCTTCTCTCACGAATAACAATCGGCGTGGGAATCAACTTCTCCAGCTCAACCAACAACCTTTTCCTCAAATCTTGAACCAAACAGTTGTTCACTTCCCCGGATTCCATCTCTTTCGAAGTAACGATATCACAAGCAAGCCTGTGAATCTTGTCTTTACCAACCCGTAACAACGGAGCTTGCTTCTGCAGCACATTCAAAGCTAAAGAAGTATCACCTCGTTTCAAATACTCAAACACGCATTGCCTGAACACTAGATACAAAGCTGCGTTTCTCGTGTCATCCCTGGAGTTATCGAAAATCCTGTCGAGTACAGCTAGGGAGCTATCCCAATTGCCACTCAAAACATGCATTTCAAGAAACTCAAAGTCTGAGGATTTGTACGAGATGCTTGACTCGTGTTCCAGACAAGAAGCAGATTTCTTGTATCCTAAGGAGTATAAGCATTGGACCAGAATCCTGACGAATTCATGTTTCTTCAGCAAACCTTTGGTACCTAAAACCTCATATGAACCGTTCTCCATTGTGGACCACTCTCTAAGGTAAAACAAGTTGATGACTTTCTAAGATTCTCAAGCACAAGCTATTATCAGCTCTGTTCCACATTCAGTAGTTGAAAGGTCCACAAGGGAAAGTACAAATTTCCCGCTGAAATTTGACTTTCTTCACCAACTAATACAAAATTCTAAAAACTTCACCGAATCAGAAAATAACCCAGAAAGTATTCCAAACTCAGAAGCAAATCACACACCCAAAACGAAACTAAAATTTAACCAAAAAATAGTATTCAATCCCGACGAAGAAAGGATACAAAGGATTTTAGATTTGGTTTCGAATTTTCCTAATATGAATTCAAATTTCTTAAATCAAATTATCGAACAGGAGAAATCGCTCGGCAGTGACTACCCAGTAACTCAAAAAACACCTTCAAGGTTTCCCTCGAGAAAAAAAACTCAGTCGCACGAATGCGAAAATCAAATCGACGACGCTGTTCAAATCGCATAAACTTGCACAGCTCTATGCCCAAAAACACAGATGCGAGAAGAGAAATGGCTGAGAGATTCAAATTCGTCGGGAATTGGTAAAAGAAGGGAAATACCAGAAGCAGCTGAAATGAGAAGAAGAAGAAGAAGAAGAAGAAACAAGGATTGAATCCAAATCCAAATCCTTTCCTTTTTTGTTCGTTCTGGATTTCAATTTTTCTAGGCCGACTCTGTGTGATCTTTTTGGCGAAGAGATGTCGAAGCGAAAACCATGTGTTTATGGTTAAGCCCTATCGCTATAGCTAATCCCTATCGTTAAGGCAATATAGTTATATCTTAGATATTTTTCATTTTTTTTTCTACATCAAAAAAAAATTGCTCTCCCATTCTTCAGTAAAATACTTGAATAATAAACTGAGCTTTTAAATCATAGAAAAGGAAGATGTTGCTGAAGCCTAAACAAATTGTAATTACCTCTCCTTTTTTCTTTTCAATTGTTTCTGTTAGCAAACCTGAAAATTAGATTTAAGTAGTTCTTCTTCTTTTTCGAAAAAAAAATGTGCACAAAAACATTAGAATATAACCATGGTGAACTTTAGATATTGATGGTTTATACCTTTGAATATTAATGGTATGAATGTTCAAAAATATACAGTTTTTCTAAGTACTTTTCAAAAATAGTCATTTGGAATATTGATCGGGCCGGGTTAAGCTAGAATAATGATACGTAAAACCTAATTATAACAGAGTATATCAGAAATATTAATGTAAATAAATAAATAGAAAAGTTAGATATTTAAGTTAAAGTGTAACCTCATTAACTTGGAAATATGTTTCATTTCGTGTAAAATTACCCCTCATTGTTCTTCTACAAAGTATTTACTCTACAAAGTATCTGCATATGGAATTAGTAATTTGTTTATTTGCAAATATTTGTTGAAACACAATTGTTTATCAAAATTGTGCCTCTTAGTATGTGATCTCGTATCCTTAATGCTGTTGTAGAAACATGTCTCTTAATTGCACAGTTTACATTTTTTGGAAGATGCATTTGCTTACCGCTGGTTGGAGTCGATGGTCTCAGTTATTTATAATTAGGGTCGTGCCTATATAAGAAGATTGGAAACTTTGGCCTACGGGCCTTTTATTTTTTAAAAAATTATGCTTAAACTTTTGTGATTATAATAATGTTAAGGTCAAATGTATAAAGATAATATTTTAGAGTCTTTAAAACAAATTAGAAATCATTATAAAAAACTAAAATATAGTGAAAATAAGATAATTAACTCGCATATCATACTCACAATCATTTTATTATTAATATGTTAAACTTTTTTCGAGAACAAAATATTACACTTGCACTAATTTATTTTTTAACCAAAAACTTACACTAAATTTTTGTATATTGTTTTGGGTCTCTATAATCCTGGGCATGACTCTGTTTATAATGATCATGATAAAAAAAACTTTATTACATCCATCCGACGAAATGACTTACCTGTTTAGATGCATTTGCTTTTTTCTACATTATCAATATAAGCGAAAATATACCCCTTCATATGAACCAAACATAAGTTCGTGTACAACTAAATAATCAGAAGAGAAATCATACAGTATTGGATTGTCCATCCTCCTCCCAGTTATGACACACGACAGGTACGTTTTGTTTTTTTTGTTTTTTGTATAATAAAAACCCCGTATATTGCCTAATGTTGAAACAAGTAAGTAAATTTTTGTTCATTTTGACAATTTTATTTTATTTAGCTTTAAGTCTAGCATTTTCCTTTTACCCTGGTTTTAGAAAGCTTTGCCCCTCACATACGAAAAGAGAAGAAAGACAATGGATAGAAAGCTTTGCCCCTCACATACGAAAAGAGGAGAAAGACAATGGAAGTTTCAATCAACAATTGAAAACGAAAAAAGCATCTAAATAATTGAAAAATGCTTTTGGGTCTTTGGTCTTATAATATCAAAGAAGAGAAAGACAATGGTGTATATAATATTAATGTTGATGCTTGTTTGGTCTATTATGGTCAGTCTTTTGTTTATATTCCTCTAAGAAATTGCCCCAAAAGTTGTAGGGTATTTTCAAGAAAGCGTACTACAAAAAGAGTCTCTGCAATAAAAATACCCTAAAAATACCTACCGAAGATATAATAATAATAAAAAAAGAAGATATAAAAACCGGAAATTTCGCTTTCAATTACATAAACTGAACCCGGTTCGACTTGGTTTCGGTTCAACCAAACCAAATCTATAAATACTCAATCTCTCTCTCTTTCTGTCAATTCGAAATAAACGCATATCCGGAGCTCCGACATGTCATCTTGCTCCGACGAAGCAATTCCGGGTCACCCGATCGTCGTGAGTCTCTCTCTCTTCTGTTCTCTTCCTCTCTCTCTTCTCTTCTCTCTCTCTGATTAGATTTCGCTGCAATGGCAGCTTGGATGTGGTCAACTCTGTCTGGATTACTTAGTCACAGTGCCGTATTTCCCAATTCCCGACCAAAAGATCCGAGGCACGAGTTTCAAGGTCTCGATCACGATCTCCGATGCCTCGTTGACTTTTTATTTGATTCGTGAATTTTTCGCTTTCGAATCCAATTTTTACATTTTTTTCTGGAGATTCTCAGGTACAAGGAGGTGGAAATACTGGGAATGCTTTAACATGCGTTGCTCGTTTGGGTTTGGATTCTAGGATCTTAGCTAAGGTATATATACAATTCTCCGTTAATCTTTATACAGTTTTGTTGGGTTTGTTGCGTTCTTGAATGTCTTTATCTAGACATGGACATTCCGGTTCGGATCGGGTTTCTGATATTTTAGTACGTACCATTCAGGTATTTTTGAAATTGGATTTGGATTTGGTTCGGTACCTTCCGAGTTTGGGTCGGTTTAGTTATTTTGGTGAAGAACCGAAAATTTTCGGGTACAGTTTGATTTGATTATTATCCGAACGTACCCAAAAGTATTAGAAAGTATCCAAAATACTCGAAAAATCTGGAATAAAACCAAAACACAGTGAATTAAATTCCATTTATGTGTAATCTGTTTGGTTTCCTTCCGTTTCCCTAAACTTTACAAAATCACCAAAAACAATTTTAGATACAAAGTTTGTGCTCAACACGAAATTTCGAAACATCATTTTTAGGTTGCTGATGATTCTCAAGGGAGATGGATGCTAGAGGAACTAGAATCTAGCGGCGTGGATACTTCCTTTTGTGTGGTAAGATCACAAAAAGAAAAAAAAATAACGTTTTAATACAATATATATTACATATATCAGTCAAGTTAAAGATAAAACATACAATCCTTTCTTGTTCCATCTCAGACCGCTAAAGGTGGAGCTTCACATTTTAATTACGTCATTGTAGATAACCAAACGTGGGTAAACACTCTTTTGTTATGTTTGTGTCTCTATGATATTATAATTTTTGAAGTTTTTCATTTTTGCTGATTATACAATATGATAACTATTTATTATAGGAATACTCGTACGTGCATTTTCACTCCAGGATATCCTCCTTTGCTCCCAGATGACCTTACTGAATCTCTCATTTTATCCGTGCTTGATGGTGTAAGAGTTCTGTATGCAAATGGAAGGTCTCGTGAAGCCGAATTGCTTCTTGCCCAAAAGGTTAGAAAAAAAAAAAAAGACTCTCTGGTGTGTTTTGCCTTCAAACTTGGTGAAAATTGTTGTCAGAGATCTGTTTCTTACGTAGGCACATAGCAAGAATATATCCATCTTGATTAATGCAGAGAAAAGAAGGGAAGGGCTTAACGAGCTCCTTGACTTGGCTGATTATGCCGTTTGCTCTACTAACTTCCCTCAGGTTAGAGTGTTCATAGGCTGTTATGTTAAATTGTTTCACCATTTTCTTGGAAAGCAACACATATGTGGAAAGACTAGTGGCTCTAAATGATATGTGAAGTCTATTAGCAGAGTAAAATGTTGGTACTAGAAATTTGTTTCGTTGTTTATAAAGAGTGAAGAAAGTTTCTGAAAAGCTGAATATATATGGAATGTATAACTAACTGAGAGATGATGATGAACTATAAGGCTCATCAATTCATTTGATACCTGAAAATATTCGAAGAAACTCCGGAAAATGTGTTAGCTAGTTACATACGTTCTTTGCAAATGTTTCATCATAGTTGGTGTATAGAATCCTTAAGATGGACTTATTTGATTGAAAAAAAAAAAAAACAGGATTGGACAGAGGCAAAAACAGCCCCTAGTGCGCTTCTCTCTATGCTCATAAGATTACCAAAGCTAAAATTTGTGATCATGACTTTGGGAGAACACGGTTGTATGATGCTCGAGAGATGTACCATCGGTGAGTAGTTCTTGTCGATTTTCCTTAACTTGCAAAATTATGCAACTTCTCTCGTGTGTGTATGAACATTTTCCTTTCCTTTCCATAACTACCAGAGGTTCCAGAATCAGAAGAAGAGACAGACATAGATGAATTACACGAGTCTCTTAAACAAACCACAGACTTTACAAGTGTCTTACCGGTCTGCAATTCATCGGTACATAACGTTTTCAGATACATATTTTTCTCGCAAATTTTCGACAATGGGTTTAGATGAAAATATAATTCTCTGACCATGTTTTCAGGTGGTGACTAGACTGGCAGGGAATGTTACAGGGAGATTGGTTATAGTAACAGCTGAGAAAATACCTTCATCGGAGCTTATTGACACAACTGGTGCCGGAGATGCGTTTACCGGAGCTTTGCTCTATGGTACTAATATTCTTCCCTAAACGTAGTCAACGAATTGTCAACTCAAAAACGAATCTATCCGACTCCAATCTTCAGTCATGTTCTTCTTTACATTTTTTGTCCGTTGTTTCATACTCTTTTTTTTCTTTTTCTTCTAACTTTCTCACAGGTTTGTGCACAGATATGGCTTCAGAAGAAATGTTGACATTTGCTTCTCGAGTCGTAAGTTTTTTTAGCGACTTTTTTAAACGCTAGCGTCGGGTTTTTTTTATCTGAATTTTTGAATTGCGTTTGCGATTTGTAGGCTGCTTGCTGCTGCAGAGGTTTAGGGGCTCGAACCACTCTTCCATTCCGTAATGATCCAAACCTTGCAGCTTTCTTGGGGGCATAACCGTAATTTTAATTTGTCACTAGACCTCTTGAGGTCATAAAATGCGTCTGTATTTTGTTTTGTATCAAATGTGAAATAAAATAATTTTTTGATAATAAAATAAATAATTGTACATAGAGTTCCAATTTCCAAAGTCAGATTCTTGTTTGTGACATCGTCCTATTTTGTTAGTGGTATACTCCGCAATTTGGTTTAATCCAATATAAATCGAAATCAATCCAATTTATTTCAGTTTACAATGATTTATACCGAAATAATTTTAATCTGATTGAAAGGTCCATCTCAGAGTCCGGCCCAACATCAACAGTCGGTAAAGTTAAAGGGAACTCTAAAAAACATAGTTATTGCACTATAAATAAGGGAAGAGCTAAACACTATATTAGGCAGACGAGTACTTGCCACTTTTGGTATACTTGATACTTGACTTGCGCCGTTCAAGTATTAAGATATTTGTATTTGTATTTGACTTGTTGATATCAAGTACTTGTAATTTCAAGTACTTGCCAAATTTTTCATTACTTGCAAGTTACTTGGTTTGTCCCGTTACTTGTAAAAGTACAAATAGAATACTAAAAAAACTAAAATTTCGGGCCATATTTAATTAAAACCTATAATAATATTTAATATTTTGACCTTTAGGTTTTTGGAAAGCTTTAGATATTGAAGTCTGACAACTTATTTATCTTTTGATAAGCAGACTCTTCTTTCCTTTTTTATGTTGTAATCTATGTGGAACAAAATTAAAAAAAAATCAGAGATTAGAAACGAGTAACGGGTCAATAAGACCAAGTAGTAACTTTTTTTTTAATACTTGATACTTGCCTTATACTTGCAAGTAATCTTCTTAAGATACTTGATACTCGACTTGATCAAAACAAGTACTTGGTTTTACGGGACAAGTACGGGTCAAGTAACGAGTACGGGACGAGTATCAAGTAATTGTGCCCAGCCCTAATAACACTCGACCCGGAGAACTGAGAGATAGATTAAATACTTATATTTGCTGGTTCATCAAGGGAGCTCCGACGTGAGACCTTTTGTATTGTTAAACCAAATTATTGAATAAAAAATATTTCCAGACTGAATTACCGAATCGACACTTTAGTTGAAATCCACAATCAACAGATCATGCTAATAAATAATGTAATGTTGGGATAAATTTGATCTTTTTTTTCCTGTACGATATGCGCGTGTACACGTTTTTTGTAAGTAAAGTCTCCTAGTTAAATTAGGTTTCATATTGGACTTTGACCCAAACATTGCAACGTCGTGTCAAAATATAATATGCCAACACAGAGTTCCACATAAAATTGTTACCGATAATGGCTTTCAGTTCATCGCAACATCGTTCAATGACTAGTGCACCAAGTTCCAGATACGCCTCAGCTTCTAAACACCACGATACCCGCAAGAAAACAGTCGGATCGAGGCCACAGACAAAACCATTATCGACGGCATCAAAAAGCAACTGGAAGCCAAAGAAAGAGCTTGGGCCACGGCTTCAAAAAGCGACCGAACCACGCCTCGCCGATCTACCAGCCAGTCCCCATTTTCCTTAGCGTATGGAATGGAAGCTCTGTGCCCTGCTGAAATCAGCGTTGCAACCTTAAAATACTCCCCAATGCCCCACAACCCCGATCTTCACGACCAAATGATGCTCGATACTTTTAACACATTAGAAGAGCAGCGATGCCAAGCCCTCCTCCGAATTCAGAATTATTAGCTGCTCGCAGCCCGATACTACAAGAAGAAGGTGCGAGGAAGGCATTTCGATGAAGGCGACCAGGTCCTTGAAAAAGTTTTTCACAACACCAAAGAGGTTAATGCAGGCAAGCTCGGCACGAATTGGGAAGGCCCGTACCAGATCATGCGCGTGGTAAAACCCGGCGTGTACGAACTCATGAAACTCGACGACACTCCAATCCCGCGATCATAGAACACCACCAACCTTAAGCGATAATACTACTAGACTCGGACCTAGCAAAAAAAAAGAACTACGGGTGGCTTGATCCTTTCTCGGAAAGTACGTAGGCAACTCGATTACGAGTTCAGCTAAAACTCCAACAAAACATCCGCTTTACTCATATCCCGAACTTATAAAACTCACAAACCAGTCCCACCAATCTAACATCGACTTCCTGGCCAAAATATCGATCAGCATTACTCACGAATGTAACCTCAAAAAGCTGAGACCCATCTCACACGCATCCACACGATGCCTCAAAAAACAAAGAAAGCCAAGACCAGTCTTGCACAAAAAAAATTTCCTTAGTCTTCCACGCAATAAGCCGGGCTCATCCCTCCGACTTGGATTCGACTTTGGAAAAGCCTTAAGGATCGACCGCGGAAGAACACTCCAATGATACGAACTCACTTAGGCATCCCAGGCCGGATTAATCCGTAATCCGCACAACAAGCCGAGCTCACGTCCCCTCGCAGAAACTAAGCCGAGTTCGCAACACTCGCGTAGTACCATAAGTCAAATTCACAACAGAATCAATCCAAGTTTGCCAAAACTCAAAAATTTGCCTGAGTAAAATTAAAATACGGGAAAGAGTATAACTGAACAGAAAATAAAATTGGATTATTATTGACAATAGGAGCGGCACATCACAGCCAACCTCCGACCAAAGAGTTCAGAACTTAGAAAAGGCACATCATGGCCGACTATCGGGAAAAGAGAGTTCAAACGCTTACAACAACATAAGCAGACATTACTAAAATAAAGAAAAGCTTCTAAACCAAACAGGAAGACAAAAACAACAATGACAAAAGAGAAATTCTTAAGTCTCCACCGAAGCAGGGTTCTTGAGTTCAGCAGCAAGAGATCCCAAAACGTTGGGAGCATTGGTCTCGTACTGGTTTACTCCTTTTGGAACATTCTCGCCTGGAGGGAGCTCAATCCATGGTTCAGAGACCTCTGACATGGTATAAGCATTCTCACCGAGATCCGGAAGCGAGACCTCCGACCTCTCGCTCATGGTTTTTCAACTTCTGCTCGAACAGCTCCACGACGGAAGGAGGAAAGAATAGGTTACGTTTTTGCTTTAAAAAAGAGCAGAAGTTGACAAGGCAGATGACCTAGTTGAGCTTGAGAAAAAGGCTGCTTCTTTTTCTCCGAGGCACCCATGAACTCTTTCATCCGATCCAGTTTTGCCTCGCATTTGGCCTTCAGCTTGAGCATGATCGCACGACCTTTGGATTCAGCATCTGGGAACCTCTGTTTCTCGATCTGCTCGACCTTCAGAGCCTTACACAGCCAATCTCGATCTGATTCCATCTCGACGTTCTGCTTCTCAAGCGCCGCGATCTGCTCCTTCAAAGCGGTGTTTTCTTTCTTCTTCTCGATGAAGGCACATCACGGCAGTATCATACCTTTCCTTCTCCATCCTGTACTCCACTGCCAGTGAGTTCCGCTCTACAGAAACATCAACGTCCTAAGGCGTTCGACCTCCAAGTCGTACTCACGGATGAGCTCGTTCATATGGCTCGCAAGCTGAAAAACCAATCAAGACGTTAAAACTTAAGGAAGAATAACAGACGAATCAAGACGTTTAAACTATGCCATGAATAGTCATTTGATTTCTATCTCTAAAATTCTTGAGAATTTTTGTAGTCTTGTGTTTGTTTTAATCGAATTTAAATCGTTGTTTACTTTCTTTTACTTGTCACCATAATTACGAACAAATCATCTTTTTTCTTAGCTTTGTTTCAGTCCTCGTAGTGTCATAGTGTGACCTTGGTCCTCTGAAATTTGAATCCTTTATATTACATTCACAAGCTGTTCTATTGTAGTATAAACTAGGAGATCATATCTAGTGAATCAATTTTTGGTGCCGTTGCGACGGTGACCAATTCGTTACCTTTGATTCTTGGCTTGAAATTCAGTCTCAGATTTTACTAACTTGCTCTCTTTTCTCTTTTGCGTGTGTCTCAGGTGTATGACAAAGAGATCCACAAGAAGCAATCGCATCAAGGATCTAGTCACCTTATTAAACGCAGAGCTTGCAAGAGTAGAGCGAGCAAACAGACGTCCAAAGCCTACTACAGCCGACATGGGCAACCAAGACAATGATGAAATGGCTGTGGATTTGCAGCAGCTTCGACAGCAGTTGGAACAGCTACAGAAGTCTCAGCAAGACATGGAACAGTCGCAACCAGCCATTGGAGACAAGGAATATCTGCATGTTTTTTACCAAAACAGAGCTGTGATTGTCCCTATAGCAATTCAGAGGCAAGACTTTGAGATCAAAACTCAGATGATCTCATTGGTCAGCACCTCTTCCATGGGCTCCCTGCTGAAATTTCAATGGACCACATCGAGAATTTTGAAAAAATTTGCAGCATGACTGGTTCGAATGAAATACCAAGCGACTTTCTGAAATGCATGATTTTTCTGTTCGCACTTGCGGATAAGCCTCATGCTGTCTAAATTCATTACCACCTGGGTCTTTGACTACATGGGCACAATGCAGATCAGCGTTTTTGGACCACTTTTACACCAAATCCAAGACCTATCTCTGAGGAACAAAATCTCATCGTTCAAACAGCAGCATGGAGAAGCTTTCTGCGAAGCTTGGGAAAGGTACAAAGAGTACCGAAGAGAGTGCCCTCACCATGGATTTTCTGATAAGCAGATTCTAGCTACCTTCTATGATGGTGACAACTAGGACTACAAGAATGCTTTGAATACAGTCAGAAATGACGATTTTATGACTAAGTCCAAAGCATGTGCTTATGAGTTGATTGAGAACTCGGCTGTTAGCTTCAGAAACAAATCACCTGAGTATGATATATCGATGAAGGCAGTTAACAATGTGGAGTCACAGAAGATTGATGAGCTGACAGCCAAGGTAAATTTACTGCTGAAATATAACCAGAAATCAGTACATTTTGCTGATGAGAATGGTGATGCACCTCTCTCTCAAGAGTTTAGAGAAGGAGAGGATAATTATGAAATGAAGGGCAAGATTATGCGCAGAATCGCAGTTTGAATCAGAACTTTAGGAACCACCCAAATCTAACTTACATAAGCAAAAACATTGAGAAACCTCAAAAGCAGGTCTATCCGCAGCAAGGAGATCAAAATCAGTTAGGATTCCAGAAGAATGACTACAACAGTTATCAAGGGAAGCAGTTCATTCCCAACCAAAACTGTTTTCAAGGAGGAAGTCAGCAGAAATTGCAAACAATTTGCAAGAGGAGCTGAAGAACCTGATGCAGCAGCTGTTGGTGAACTGCAAAAAGCTTTTATGGAGATCAACTCCAAGGTGGATACAATGTACAATGATCTGAATGGCAAGTATGAAGCAGTGTGGACTCATGTGAAGAAGCTAGATGTCCAAGTAGCTCAGACTGCTGAAGCTGTGAAGAGACCACCTGGAACTATTCCTGGAAAGGAGATAATTATAGGAAAGAGTATGTGAATGCAATTGAGCTGAGGAGTCAAAATACATTACATGCTGCAGCACCACCAGTCGCTGGTTCAGAGAAAAGAAAGGAGAAGATCATGGAGCAACTGCTCCAAGCAGGAAACCTGCATCTGGTGAAGAAAAAACAATACAGCATGCCTCTTCATCTGGAGCACCTGCCCCGGGCCATGAAGCACATACTCCTGACGAAACAGAGATGATGGAGCACCCCAGACCCCCCAACAGAGCACCTGCTCCGACCAACTGCTCCAGCTAATCCTCCAGCACCTAAGGTGCCATACCAAGTTCCACCTAAGAAGTCTCGCAAGGACTTAGAGGAAGCAAAATGCAGGGAGATGCTGAGGGATTTGACTGTAAAACTCTCCCTTGTTGATGTCGTCCATATGATACCAGCTCTTAAGCGATACATGAAAGGGTTAGTTTTTGGGAAAGCTGTTGAGGAAGAGAATGTGATGATGGTCTCCAAGGAGTGCAGTGATGTATTGCAGAATAAGGTGCTGAAGAAGAGGAGTGATCATGGGAAATTTGTTTTATCAGTGAGGATTGGTCACATGATATTCGCATGTTCTCTATGCGATCTGGGTTCAAGTGTGAACTTGATGCCATATTCTATGGCCAAGCGACTGGGGTACACTAGGTTCAAGCCTACAAAAATCTCGCTGGCGTTTGCCGATAGGTCATCCAAATTTCCTATTGGAGTATTTGAGGATCTGCATGTTCAGATAGGTGATACACTCATTCCAGCATATTTTGTGATTCTGGAACTCGATGAAGAACTCAATGACCCCTTGATTTGGGTCATTCCTGCAGATTATGCACAGCTGGTGCGATCATTGATGTGAAAGAAGGTGTGATCGATCTCCAACTGGGAGATATGGTGATGAGGTTCAAAATGAACAAGCTCCTCAAAAAGCAAATGCCGGATGGATAGACATTTGTGATATATGATGGTTCAGACATTGCAGATGAAGTAGATGAGGAAGTGTTAGCCATTGATCCCTTAGAAGTGGCATTGACAAAAGCTGAAGGAGAGTTCGGGTTTCTGAGTGAGGAAGCTGATGGGTTCGCAAGGATGCTAGATGCAATCTTGATAATGGAGAAACTGGTGGCGTACATGAGCTTGGAGGATAAGGAAACGCCTGTAGGTCATGATAAGTTTGCAACCGCCCACTACAGTCAAGGGAGTCCGCAGTTGTCAGGGACATGCTGGGTTTTACAGACGGTTCATCAAGGACTTCTCAAAAATAGTCAAACCTCTAACGCAGCTGCTTTGCAAAGAGGGGAAATTTGAGTTTGACAGTGCATGCTTGGAGGCAGTCCATACGATCAAAGGAGCATTGGTCAGCACTCCAATTGTTCAACCACCAGACTGGAATTTGCCTTTTGAGGTCATGACTGATGCTAGTGACTATGCTGTGGGAGCAGTTCTGGGTCAGAGAAAAGAAAATAAGCTCCACGTCATTTACTATTCCAGTCGAACTCTCGACGAAACTCAGTGCAGATATGTCCCGACTGAGAAGGAGCTTTTAGCAGTAGTTTTTGCTTTTAAGAAGTTCAGATCCTATCTTGTGGGATCAAAGGTTGTCGTCCACACAGTTCATGCTGCCCTGAAATACTTATTGACGAAGAAAGATGCCAAACCAAGACTTCTTTGATGGATCATTTTGTTGCAAGAGTTTGATCTGGAGATTAAGGCAAGAAGGGGATCGAGAATGGTGTTGCAGACCATTTGTCAAGGCTGAAGGTTTAAGATGACATTCCACTGGAAGACAGCCTTCCGGATGAACAAGTATATGCTATTGATATTTTTGAGTTTGAGGAGCACCCGCTCCAAACTGGAGGACCTACTATGATGACCTTCTGCAACTCAATAGACATCAATCGACAACCCAGTTTTTCTTGGTTTGGAGAGATCGCGAACTAACTCGCTGCAGAGAAAGAACCTGTGGATTTCGTGAGAAACAAAATGAAGAAGTTCTTGAAAGACATAGGCACTACTTCTGGGATGAGCCTTACTTATACAAGCTTTGCTCAGATAGAATCTTCAGGAGATGTGTAGCTGAGGAAGAAATATCAGGAGTATTGTTTCATTGCCATGGTTCTCCTTATGCTGGTCACTTCGCCACTATATGAACGGTGTCAAAAGTACTTCAGGCTGGGTATTGGTGGCCCACTATGTTCCGAGATGCAAAAAGATCTATTTCCAGGTGTGACACATGCCAGCGACAAGGGAACATAAGTAAGAGGAATGAGTTGCCACAAAACTTGATTTTGGAAGTGGAAGTTTTTGATGTATGGGGGATCGATTTATGGGGCAAAACACGCCAAGAAAAGTCTGTGAGACTATCAGAAACATTACGCCATCACAAGATTTGAATTCAGTCGAGTCGGATCATGTGCCGCTCTACCCGACCCGCCATCCATGGGCCAACCCAGTATACTAACGTTGGTCAGGTAATTTCCTATAAATACTTTATCCTTTCCTACGAGAAGGGGGTTCACGCTCTTAGCCATCTTAAGTCTCAAGATATCTCTCTAGATATTTGTGGTTCTTAAGTCCAGGCATTCTACACAATTCCAACCATCTTTCCGGTTATATCACTTCGTTCCTCCTCCACGGAAGTTCTTAAACCGTAGAGCTTCTTTACCCAAAAACTCTTGTTTTTCTCTCTTTTCACCACAAAAGTCCATTCTCTTTCCAAAGCCTGAGCAGATCGTACCTTTCTCAATGACTCTTGGCCCATTTTCCTTCACAAAGTTTTCCGACTTCTTTTCACTCTCTGATCAGCTATATTGTGGTCTTTTTCGAGCTGTTTACTGACTTGAGCGTCGGAGTGCCTTCAGAGCTATTTTCTTTGAGTGGTTTAAAACTTAATAATAAAATTTATTAATTAATTATCTTTAAACAATTGTAACTTTAAATTAAAAAATATGACACATGTTATCTCCATATTAAATGCTGATGTAACTCTCAAATCTGATATGGCATCCATATGAAGAGAGAGTTGGTCTTCTTTTATATATAAGATACAGTATATTGTGTCCATTCTATAACAAAGTAAATAGAGATACTAATAAAGTATATAGATGATAGTGTTTATTTTATTTTTCAGTTACTTTTCACAAATATTTTTTGTTTACTATAATCCAAATTGGAATTCCATTGTATTATGTTTCTCATGTGTTTGTTGTTGATTAGGGAAGTACTCCCAACACACACACACGTATAAAAAAAAAACATAGAGTATTTTACTCAATCCCAATATCGAGTTTGAATCTGATTTTATTAATATACATTTCGACCAATATATTTATTTCTAACCCAATGTTCTTGTTGATATATATTTATAGGAAGGGACTGTCCGTTTTATAAACACAGTAGAATATATTTGTATTTTTTTGTCAACATTTTTGTTAAAAAAACAATTATTAGTAAAAACTCTAAAATTTGGAGTTATATATTATAAATTTACAACTATTAGACCTAGCAGAAACAAAGTATAAACTCTGTTTGACTACCGCTGAAAACAGAAATACCTGAGCTATATAAATAAAAATAATAATTTTTTAATTATTTATTTACGTAAAAAAAAATTTCCTTTCTTTATCATGATCTAATATTTTTTTATGAATAAATCCTGAAGTTTCAGGAGTATGGTAAAATATTACCGTTTTCTAAAACATATATATAATTTCGGAAGCATTTATAAATTCATGAGAACAATTGTAAAAATACTTTTTAAATTTGGAAGTTTTCTTAAATTTTGTTAAGATCCAACTTTAATTTTTTTTTTATAGGCAAAATATTGGAAAATGTACTTTGTAAAAAGTTTGTATACGTCAGAAGATAGTGTATATTAAAACTAAAATGTAATAAGAAAGATTTTCTATCAATTTAGGAATTTTTTTTTAATTATTCAGAAAGTCATTCTTAAATATGTTATGAATGTCAAATTTTAAGCGTGTATGATAAATTTAACTTAAAAACTTATTTTTACGAAATTTAAGAAAATTGTCTTATGTTTTGAATATAAATGGTTCACAGAAAAGACTCATTGAATTTTTTAGAAAAGAAATTCAAATATTAGATATACAATTAAATCTCTATAAATTAATACTTAATAAATTAATTATTATTATAAAATCTAATTTTGCTAATTTTAAATTGGGTTAATGTAAATACTTATTGAAT